TCCGGGGATGAAATCGGCCTCGGGGGCTGCTGTCACTGGCTGCACTGTAGGGAGGGATGCCTCTGGCTGGGCTGGGGGACCGTTGGCCTGGTTCTCCCGCGTTATCGCTCCCTGGCGATAGCGAGCTTCCCGGCACGGCTTTCTGCTGTTCTTCCTTGGGGCGGGGTACAGCTTCCCCCTGGACATGCGGTCTGGGGTCCTTTGCGCTTTGGGGGGTCGCAGGGTGTCCTGGCTTCTGGGGGTGGGGGTCTGCGGTGGGATTGTGGGACGATTATCGATGCATCTTGATGTATTATACTTTTTCCCTGGGCAGGGTCTCTGGATGGCTGCTGGGCGTTTAGTTTGTGCGTTGGAGTCCGGGGGAGGCATCTCCTCGTTGGCTTGGAGGGACCTGTTTGCGTTCCTGTTTTGCTTCGTTGGCCTCGGATCCGTGCTTGCCCATTTCTCTGTCGGCCAGTTGTTGGACCCCTCTGGATACTGAGGTATATAGTTAGTTTTCGGGATGTGCAGTGTGGGTGCGGGGCAGGGCTGTGCTCCGGTTTGTTCTGGGTTTGTGCCTGGAGTTCTCGGCCCTTGATGGATGGGTGGGTTGTTGGTGGCATGCAGCTGAGCTAGTTGATTTTGCCTCGTTGCTGGTTTGGCTGGTGTTGCATGGCGGCCGGGGGGCGCGCTGGGCATGGGGGATGTCGGCTGGCGCCGGCGGCCTTAGTTTTTTCCGGCAGTTGGGGGGACGGTGGACTTTTATTGGCGGGTGCACGGTGACCTGTGCGGCGCGTTTGCTGCCGGGCTGGGGCTTGCTGCTGGTGTCTCTCTCCGCTGGCTTTCGCTGTCGTGTTGTTCCGTTTGCTCTCTCTCATTTGCCCGACCTCGCACGCGGGATTCGCGGGGGGCTGCTGGGCATGGGTGTCGCCGTGCTCGCGCAGTGTGCGCGTTGGGCTCGTCACTTGTGCATTGGTGTTGATGATTGCGTGGCATTTGGGCATTGTGGTTGTTTGCTGCGCGGCGGTGGGGTGCTGGATGGGGGAGGCCACTGGTCTATGTTGTGTCTGCGACGCGGTCGGTCCGGGCGCTGCTCTTCCTCTTTTGCGTTCCGTCGGCATTACGTTGTCAACTGGCATTTGGGTCGGGGTCTTCTGCGTTTGCATCGCGGTGCATCTGGGAGTCTTTGTTTTTTTTTGATTTGATTTATTCTTTTTCTTTCTTCCACCCCTATTGGCTACTGGGGTTCTTGCCTGCCTGTTACAGTCGTGGCGTCCCACTCTCTCTAACAACTACATTCTTTAACAGGCTTATGCGCACACACATGTACATACACACACATACAGACACATTCACCCACACGCACACAGACACACACAGACACAAACAAACTTAGGTTGTCCCTGGTAGAATTATTCCTGATGCTTTCTTTCAGTTACTTATTTAAATTAATTATTATTCCAGCTCTCGTGGCTGTGTTGTGTTGCTTATTTAGTGTGTGTGACTGTTTCTTGTTTTCATTGTTCTCTTAGTTGTCTTAATATGTCATTAATATGTCAGCTGTTTATTGCTGCTGTTCGGCTGGTTTTCTTTTACTATTATTATTATTTTTATTGTTTTTTTTTGTTTGTGTTTGTTTGTTGTTGTTTTTCTCCTCCCCAAGCCCCCCTCTCTGTTCTCTTGCAGGTTTCGTTGCTTTCTGCAATTGGTGTTTCCCACAGCTTTTCCCTGTTGTCCCCACCCTCCATCCCCCTTTCCCCCTTCTCTTGCAGGTGTTGTCCTTTCTCTGTGCTGTCTGTTTGTGCCCCCCCATCCCCGTGTCTGCCCCCCTGTCCGGCCCGATGACAAATCAATACATAATTAAATAAATAATAAAACAGACAAAGGAGTATTTTAATACTCTCTTGTTAAAGTAAAATCTGTCTGGCACAATATGGTATCCAGGTCATTATACTCTATACCAGGCTGCTGGGCAGGACAGGTTTAAAAAAAAAAAAAAAAAAAAAAAAAAAAAAAAAAATAAAGACGATCAGTCCTTCACAGCTAAGTTTAGCTGGATGGCGCAGCGGCAGCGTTGTTGCCCTTTGAACAGCAGGAGCAGAGTTCAAATCTAGCATGGTTCTCCAAGCATAGACAGCAATGTAATACAATGAAGCTCACAAACATCTCTCCACAGCTCCCTACTGCTTTTTAGGAGCAATAAGCAAGACATTAATGAACTCAAAAAGATACAATGATGAGATCTCATCTGTTACTTTCATTTATCCTGTTGTAATCTCAATTCAGTATCCATTTGTCTTACCGAAGTCTTAAAACCTCAAGCTCTCTTCATCTCATCCTTTTCTCCAAAGGGGTTTTAGGAGCAACAATTCAGATTGGAGTGATCTCAAAAAGATGTACTATTGAGATCTTAGAGTTTTCTCTGTTACCAGTTACCACTCACACTAGCCTTTCACCAAACAGTAGTCCTGATTTTCTAACTGTGAAGAGCTGAATACTTGTGCGCAGTGCCGACCTCATGCATCTATGTACATGGGCAGAACCCAAACCTGTGTTGGGCAAAGGACCACTTGATGAAACCAGTCTCAAAGCAAGTGGTTTGCAGCCACCTGAGGGGCTACGTGCATATTCTAGTTGGGGTCTCAGCACCTCAAGGGCCCTTTCCAGAGGGATGCCCATTCAGGAGATTTGCGCCGCATCAAGTTGGGCCTCCCCAAACATCTTCACCATCTTCATCTTCAAGTTCTCCAGGCTTGAAGTTACAGCTCCTCCATTAGCCCCTTGGACACTTAATGTGGTTAAGTCTCAGTGGGCCTATATGTTCGGCAATCCAGGAGTCAGTATTTTCCCAAAGTAAGACACCAAATAAATGCTAAGAAAGAGAATTTTAGGTTACTTGCGTAAGGAGCATGAGTGTGTTTCCCCATGACTACCCTCTGTGCCCCTCCGTATTGGTGAAGAAATGCATAGTAGTGAGAGTGAGTTATTGTGGTTACACGGAGGCTCTATCGCCCTGAAACTTTGTGACGTCACGGGAAGAGAACAGACAGACATCACAGAGGAAGAACAAGGTGGGGTGGTAAAGAAGCAGCAGACTTTGTAGGGATGACATTCTTTACCTGTTATCTTTAGTGAGAGGTCCAGATGTTTAACTGACAGGAAACCAGTGAAAGATTGGTGCATGAGGTCGCTTCTCTTCTCTGGGCCTGGCAGCGTTTTGTAGAAGTTGCAGTTTTTGGATGTTTTACCTGCTGATACCAGAGTAAAGTTCTTGATGTAGTCTGAAGAACAGTCAGAGAAGTAGCTGTGTGACAGATAAGAGTGAGGTCAAGATGAATTAAAATAGAGTACAGGCCGATGTTGTCAGAAAAGAGAGGTGGGTAGAGCAGCCAAAAAACTGTGCCTGGGTAAAAGTACTGTTACTTTGCAAAAACAAATTAATAGCAGCGGTCATCAAAATAACTACTTACGTAAGAGTACGAAAGTACTTACTAAAAAAATTAACTTTTTGAGGTACTCAAGAAATACTTTTTCCCCAAGTCTTTTATTTGATGTGGATGTGACTAGAATTATTTCAGATGGTCTTCATCATGTAAAGGTAAAACGGTGAACTTATAATAACCTGCCACATATATACCAGGACAATATTCCCATTCCACCAAGTGTAATTGCAAAATTCCGCACAGAATTTGCATGCTTCCTCCCACCATGAAAGACATGCACGCTAAAATCCATAATTCTGCCTAGTAATCATTTTGACTTCTTCTACAACAGGAACCACAGGGGGGTTCATAAGACCAAGCTGCTTATCAAGACGAGCCCCCACCCTGAAACTCAACCCCTCGGGTTACTAGCCACTCCAGCCACCAAACCCTAAACAACCTACTCGACCCCTGTTCATCCCCATCCCCTCTTGACCCCTGCTTTCATAACTATTCATCATAATAAACCACTATAAAATCTAACATTGGCGTGGTCCTTGTTAGTGAAGTAGCAGAGTAAAAGTACTGATTTTCAGTAACAGACAAAATGATGATGATGGTGGGAATTGTTGGGTTTCTGTAAAATTAGTATAAAGAGTATGGTTTGGACTTGATCCATATGAAAATTACAATGAGATAACTTCTGTTATGAATTGGCGCTACATAAATAAAATTGAATTGAAAACTGCATTCAGAAATCAAGTAGGAAAGCAGTCTGAAGGGTGGGTGAAGTGAACAGTGCTGCGAAGTAGGTTAATGTTCAAGCTCTCTTAAGTCTGTGTCACTGTGCTGCCAGAATCTCTACTATTTTGTTGTAAAACTGGAAGTACATTTTCACATCACTCTGGGGAGGATTCAACTGGATGGCTAAGTGGAGGTTTTATGGTTTTAAAGAAGATTCTGCCATTTGACCCCATTTAGTGTTCATTTGTGAAAAATAGAGTGCTTTGCTTCTGTTGCACACTGTTGACATCAGATCTTTAAGGGAAGTAACATGTGAGTAAAGATTTAGGCTATCCATAGATTGCCATAAAATGTGCGAATGTCACGTTCATTTCATATCAGCCATCAAAAACCCTTATTGGTTGAAATCTACCACTGCATATAGTTTGCGTCCTGCAGCTGCCCAGCTGGCCTTTTCAATGCCTTTTTATAGTGGCAGCCTTCTCAACACCACAGCACAAATGTTTTCTGGAGCGCTTTATCCTGCCGGGATAGGGTTACACATGCCCAGGCTTATGCGCGCCCTCAGACACAACAACCCATACATTTAACCACTTTTATTCATGTTGTATCTAATAGTGTCCTTCAACATGAACAACCCCCCAACAAAACTGTGCAAAAACACTTGGCTTGTATTTTACAATAGAAAGCACATGAACAATGGAGTTTTTACGATTTTACGATAATGTCTGGTAAGATAGTATAAAACACGCATGCACACACACACACACACACACACACACACACACACACACCTCCCAGGCCCTGGTGGGTATTCCCAGTGAGGTTAAGTCAGGGGGAGTCTGTGTGCGTCCGTGTTGGTGTGAGAGAGAACTTTTCGTTTCGTGTGTGTGCGTGACACTGGTTGCATGGTGGGGGGGACACACTTTGGATTTCCTCTGCCCGTCTGAGTGCTCCTGTCCTGTCAGTCTGTCTATCTGTCTGTCTTCCTTTTAACAGTTTGTTTGCCTTTCTGCCTGCCTGTATTTGTCTGTCTGTCTGACCGACTGGTTGACCGGCACAGAGCGAGGAGGACGAAGTATGACAGCCTCCACCAGCTCCTCCAGCGGCTTAGAGGTCCTCCTTTCCACTCTGCAGGTAGGGATCCACAGTACGAGTACTTTGCATTGTTTAGTATTACTCTTGCTATTTTAAATACAATGTTGCAAAACTAACCACTCACTTGATTATATGCTGTTATATGTTTAGCCATTTTACATTTAATTAGTTATCTTCTTTTTGCTTCTTTTTGATACAATAATGCATATGTCCTGAAGGAAATTAAATACCTTTCTCAAGTACAAGTAAGAAGTCAAAGAACTATAGCAGGACTCTTCTGAACAACTGTACATTCATTTAGTGACTGTGGAAGAGACAATGTGGCATCCTGACTGTAGATATGCCCTACCAACCAATTCCTCTCTAATTCACTGATGCTCTACAAAGTGGAGTACATAATTTCTTTTTCAATGCAAATGCTTCTCACAGAAAGACTCGTGAGTCGTGATGGACATGAGGTTCAATCTGACATAGACTTCTTCTGATAGGACCATGACCAAAGTTGCATCTGTTATTTTGTCTTTTTAAAAGTAATGCAGCACAGGTTTTCAGATTTGTCTCTGCGAGATAGATTATTCACTTTTTTTTGTTGTCTGTCTATTTCCAAAGTCAAGGATGAACCTTAAAGCTTAAAGCAGGAGCTGATTTACCGGCCTCCTCAGCAGTGAAAATACTGATACATCCATTCTAAAGCTTGATTATCCAGTCCGGGCTGATCAACAATGTTAGAGTCATATTGCCAACCTTCACCTCTATTTTATACTACAACCTGCTTGATTTAATATAGCAGCAACCCATTGCCTATGGTACAAGTTGTTTGTAGTTTCTTTACCACTGTTTCCATGTATCAAACTCAAACTAGCAGACCAGAAGCTGATATTAAATCCGTCTTCCTGTGTATGAAGTTAACACCAATGTTTGCCAAGGTGATGACAGAGGGAAATGACATTAAGCCTGGAGTACGCACATCCAAAATACATCTACAGGTGCTGGACAAAAATACAAACTAAAGGCAAGAATCAAAGAAAACAGCAACGCATTGTTAATAGCTGCCATCAATTTTAATCAAACAGAAATCTTCGTCAGGCATTGTCAAATTGTCATCGTCATCTGAATTTGACAAGCTTCCAGACTTTAAAGTCAGCCGGACTATAATAATGTGGCAATAAACCCACATTACACACAGAGAGAAATATAAGAAAGGAAAGAAATAAAATAATTTGCAGGATACCTTTTAATTACACATTTTTATAGCTTCAAATATGTATTGTAAGTAAAAACTTTCCTGAAGACACCAAACACAGCCTAAGAGAGGTCTAGTTACTTTATGTATTTGCATGTTTGTATTATTATTAAAAAGACACTTGTTTAATAGAAAGTCATTTGATTCGGTTTTGTAATTTCGTGCCCATGTTTTAGTTTGCAGGCCTGCTTTGGGTTATGGCGGTATCAAACAAGTATCAAATGTGCATCAAACCTGATCCACATTGCGTATGCGGAATATCAGGTTGTCATAATTTCTTTTGCGGTTGACACTGGAGCCTCGGTAAGTGGGGGGACAAAAAATAAAAAATAAATTATACTGTCCATATTCTCATCAACATGGAGTTCATCTCAATTTTATTTGTTTAGCACCAATTCAGAACAGCAGTTCTCTCATTGCACTTTGCATATATATTTTTGTAATATTATCAAACACAAACATTTCAAACACTTGAACAACACTTTGAATGTTTTGGTTGCTAACACTGGGTAGATGGATTGATATCATATTAAAAATATCGGATTCCAATGGCTGGCCAGAACTTGAGTAAATACAGCTTGAGGGTTAAGCCAGCTGGATTGAGATTGGTTGATGAAACAGTGATGGGGAGGGGCAGAATATCAAGTGGTGTGAAACCGAAACGTAAACTAACTATGACGCAAAACCCATGTGTGCACAGACATAAGATACAATTGAAACATGAACATTAGAATGAAAGCAAACGTATTACAGTGCTGGTGCACAACATGATTACTCAGCATGAATGTTCTTGCTCTGACAGTGCTGCATTTGAGTATTGTATGTGGGGGAAAGTATATAGCTCTATATACACACTTCGATAGTCATATCTATAAACAGACTCACCAACGGAAACTCTACATGATTGAAAGCAAATCATTTTATGCTGTGATATTGTTTTACACAATAAGCATAAAACCTTGAGTACACTAAAACAACCATGTGACATTAAACAACACTATGAATGGAGGTGTTGTGTAGTTGATTATCTCTCAGCGTTAAGAGGGCTCTGTGCTGACTGTTTTCCAAAGGAGTATATGTGCTCCTAAATGAAAAAATGTAGGAGCACACAAAGAATATAGGTAAACAGTGAAAGCTGTTCAAGTAACACAGAGTTTAGATTACTGAGATTACTGAACAATATTTCATCCCTCAATATTTATAACAATGACTTAAGTAAAACAGGCAGCTAGAAGGAGCACATATGGGCACAATCCGCATCCTGGCTCTGGCTAAATCTACATGTGTCCACTGCAGAGGCTCTACAACACACCACAACCTGGAGGAGGAACTAGTATAAATGCGTGTATTAGTATAATACTATATAATTAAATAAAGGCAGCACAGAGGGCTCCAGCAAAAAATCCCCAAACAAAAAAATCACCTCAGGCTCTCTTTTACACACATTACAATTGTTTCAAGCTAGCCATGACACCAGGTCAACCCGTCACCCGTCAGAGACATGCGACCCAATGCAAACTGCTCTGTGTTTTATTCGACTGGAGCAGTAAGTGGTTGAAGGTACAATTGGTTAATCGCTACATCCGAAATAACATCCCATAATCAGAGATGCCGTTACCTCTGTGTTTAGCAACTGTCTCTCATTACAGCAGCTCAACACAACTCTGCGCTGTTTGTCTCTATTTTAACAGGCAGATCGTTGGCTAGGACTGCAAGCAAAACATTAAGCTATTTATATCAGACAGATAGTTGGCCACTGGAGGAGGCTGTTCCTACAACACACATTTTAATGAGGGAGATGTTTGGCTACCCTAAAAGATTTCTGTTGAAACTGCAGAATTTAATCAGCCGTATACTGTAGTTGGCAATGCCAATACACCGTCAGTCACACTGAGGCCATTTTGAGCATTGGGGATGACAAACTTTTCTGGGAGGATTGGTGTTACAGAAACATGGAGAGTAAATGAGACATCAGATAGGTCTATGTAAACCTACATCTCTACAGTTTCCTACACATGTTTGTTGTGGGGAATAGCTGAGCAGGTATGTTTCTCCCTCACTCTCACAGGCCTGAGGGGCCAATCATGTCTGCTAAAACTACAAACATATAAAGTTCAGATAGAGGTTAGGCATTTTATATATATATATAGAACACTGTCTTTGTTTTTTTTTTGTCTCTGCAGAATGCAGGAGATGTGGAGAGCACCTTAAATATCCTCAGCGTCCTAGATGAACTTCTGTCTGCTGGTAAGCTCTGATCAGCTCTTGACCACATAACTGCTTAACTTAATTTTACAGCAATATGACAATATCATGTGAAGAGCTGCCCAAAGAAGCCAGTTTTAACACAGAGATCAGAGGAGGGAAGCTGTTCAATGCAGGACAATGAGAAATCTGATCAGCAACCCCTCTGGTTGCAAAGAGTTCTGAACTGAAATGTATCGCTTTTACGCATCAAAAAGAAAATCAACTTTTTAAATTTATTTGCACATTATTATTTCCTAATATATAATTGTTTATCCATTTCGGCCTATAGTTTTTTGGTTCATTTCTTTCTTTTACATCCTAGTGACTGATCACTGATTGTAATATCACTAAACAGTTCAGTAAGTACATGAAACAAAACTTTGTGGGGAAACAGGAGAAACCTGATGGCCCTTCTCCATCTTGGCACTCAGAAAACATTTCTCCAAACTCATGTCCCGCAGCTTCTCAGAATGGTCTCCTTAATCTCTATGTCCCGCCCACTAACTAACTTTGTGACTACATAAACCTGACAGCCATGCAGGACAGCCAATAGGGAGATAGGGTGCCTTGAAAAGATAAACAGCTGGTAGAGCTAATTCTCCGGACAGTGCCGTCCAACCATGGCAGAAGAAGAGGACACAACAAGATAACTTCATAAAAAAGAGCTCTAACTATGGCAGACCATGTGGAAAACATGACAGAAATATAACATTTACTGTAAGTTCCATTTTAAGTCACACGCTTCACGTATTCACTCTGTTTCTATTTGCTGTTTATCCACACACCAACAGGTCCATAAACTTTTCAGTTCAGTTTTTTTATGCACAAATGAAAAATGCTCATAAAAACAGGTGCATCGAAGCACACTTGGTGACAAAATTCATGTAGTATTTCCTCTGTTCTTCAGCATACAGTATTAGATATGAAATAAAAGTGGTATGAGGTTTAGGTGCTGACTCTCAGTTTCAGCACTTATATCCATTATACTTGTGAACAATTCCTCCCCTCCATCTTTTCCTTTGAGGTAAACTTATTTCCTCTGTCTGACAGACACAGGCCTACTGTTGCTTTGGAATGGGATCCCTGCATTATTTCTCACAATGACAAGCACGGAAGCAAGATGCTATTAAAATGATCAAGTCCAAGAAACATATTCTCCCTCAGTTTAGATTCAAACATGTAGTAAAATAGCAATGCCAAAGCACAAGTGTTGTTTCATGTAATCCTTCCCAGTAGGAGAAACACGAGTAAACAGTCAATCCTTGCACTCTCTCTCTCTGTTTAGGTACAGACCGTCGAATCCACTATATGATCAGCAAAGGTGGCAGCGAAGCCTTGCTGACTACACTGGTCAACACCGGCCGCAGTTTTAGTCCCAACTACACCGTCCTGCTGCCACTGCTGCACCTGCTGGCTAAAGTTGGACACAGAGGTGAGCATGAATGAAAAGATAAATAGTAAAAACAATGAGGTGATGGATAAAAAACATCAGAGCCATGTAGGTGTGTTAGCTTCTACTAAATATATTAGCCAGCCCACTAATTGGATGTGTTACAAGGTTACACGGATCACCCGCTGAGAGCTTGATCCAGGATGTTGATGGGGCAGGTCACTGTAAAGATGTGGGCACAATGGTCTCTGATTTCCGACATGAGACCCGTTTTGTCCTGACCTGACCTTTAGGAGCAGCCTTAAGTCCACGCTGGGTCAGCATGGCTCCTTTCCCAGTTCTATTTCCTCTCCTCTGAGCAATCACCTTATCTGCCATGGTGCCTGGTCCAGTTTATCTGGTCGTGTGGATTGCGGTCCATTGCTCTTTAATCCAAAACCCCGTCTTCCTTTTCAAATGACTGTATGTCTGTAGGCAACACATGTTTCAGCAATAAACCTGGAAAAAACAGATGAAAAGCAAAAGTGTAGCAAAGTTTGAAGGAGCTTTTAGAAGCACTGCCAGTTGCCACTGAACAACAGAAGGATGTTTAACAGTGCAGTTACTGTGGTAGCTCACAAGCCACTTTTATTAAACAAGACTGATCTTTTGTACAGGGCTACAACCAGTAGTGGAAAGTAAAAAAGTACTCCAGTACTCTACTTAAGTAGGCCTACAATATTAAGGGGCTATTACTATTTTCAATTATTTCCTTTTTCTGTTGCTTTTTACTTTGACACTACATTTTTAGGGGTAGATATATATTCTTTTTACTGCACTACACTTATCTGACAGCTGCTGTCACAGATTCACATTATTAATATAAAATTACTATAGACTGAGCCACTCAACAGTATATACCCAGCAGTTAAAATTACATTGATGCATCAATCATTTTAATCCAATAATATAATATTGACCCAGCGGCCCACTCCCTCTCTGGTGCCTACAATGAGTTGTGCAGTAGGCCTACTACCAGCGCGCTCTGAACGGTTGGTGATCGTTCCCTCTGGCTGGAGGAATTTTACGCATAGGCTAATCCATGCACAACAGCTGGGGCCCTGACGCAGCGCCACGCAACTTTCTAAATTCCTCCACCTCACGGAGGAAAGAAAGGTCAGGTCGAAACAGTGTAGAGAGACTGCTGCTGCAGCTGTTGCGTGAAGCTGCTTCCACCAATTATAAAAACAAGTTCATTAAGATAAAACGATAATATCGCCGGGTGCTGTTTCAAAACGACACTGGTTTTATTTTATAAATCCAGCGCACCTCTGTCCTTCACAGCTGAGGCTCTCGTCCCTCCCTAAGATGTTCAGTGTTGCTTCACCTGATCGGTTCTTGTAAAATATCCACTGTGTCTGCGTCTTCTAACGTCATAGCGATTTATAGTTTTCTCACCGCTGGTTTCTGTCACTGCATCTCCCAACAAACCACGGTTTTATTTCAGCGTTCTGTAACGTAACTTCGTCAACTCGAGTAGTTCACCTGTCACCTGCTCTGCTCCCCTCCGGGTACACACACACACACACACACACACACACACACACACGGAGCCCCCTCAGTGACCCATCCATCACCCAAAGCTGTCAACTTGGGGGAAACTGTGCTGCTGTCGTCCTCTTGCACACTAGATGCTGCTGTTTCAAGGACTATTTGGGATTTTTGAGTAATAGCCTAGATTTTAAAAAGAAAGTGTTACATTTCAATAGTTAATGTTTCCTAAGGCAGTGAGTAATCCTGTTAGATAGCCTAATTGTGATCTCAATATTGACCAAAATAATTAGCAGTCCTACATTAACATTTAATTTAATTCATGAAATTTGTTGTGTGAAACTATGCCTCTGTCTTCTTTCTGTACAGGCTAATGCTTTATTCAATACACACTAAAAACAAAAAAAGGTGCTAAATAGCACTAATAGTGGTTCATTGGCTCGTAATCATAGGGGAACATCTTTTGGCGCTATATAGCACCTAGTTTTAAAACAGCTTTATAGCACATTTGTCAAATGGGGCTATTTAGAACCATTACATGCTATGAATAGTTTACATTTTGAGCTAGTGGGGCCCTTAAGTCATGCCAGATACTACCAGAGTCAATATGCTTTTAAATGACAACTTCATAATTTAAAAAGTGTCAATAATCATTTGTTACCAAATCATGGTTCAAAAAAATTCCAAGTCCTGTACTAAATACTTACTGAGAAACAAAATTACCCTTTTAATGCATTATTTCAACAGAAAGTAAATTCAGAGTTGACAAGTCAGGAAAAAAAAAAGACAAACACACACACTTTTATAGACAAGCTATAATGTGTACATTTTAAAATAAGTAAAAACAAACATCTTCTGTAGCCCAGTAGGCAGGTCTCTTTTTGGTCTATTCGTGTATAAGCCTACTTTAGTAGTTTACTTCACTCTATTTAGAAAATCTATAGTCTTTATTAGTAAAATTACTGCAACTGGCTAATACAGTTGAAGTCCTGCAGTATCGGTCACTGTCAACAGCACAATAACATGTTTGTAAGTCCTTCAGGATTTCAAAAATAGAAAACCCAGTTCAGTGGAAAAGTGCTTGTTCTCTTCAACTGGCCATCCAGAAAGAGAGAATATTGAGTCCTACAGTCAACCCACAGATTAAGTTGTATACTTTTTTTACTGTGACAGGAAGTCCAACTGCATCCTTCATTTCAATACAACACACTCCAAAAAGGTCAGTGTCTTCTTCAGTCCTTCAGGATGCTGGATTCCAAACAAAATATACACACAGGATGAGGCCCAGTGCCACTGAGATGTCCTCTCTCTCTTCTGTGATAAACTGGCCATCCAATGTGAGTCAAATGTGGTCACACTGCATAGGATGACCTCCCCTGAAGCCTTAACGCACCATCTTTGTCACAATTTGTCATGTGTGCAGGCAGGAACAGGTATCTCTCAGATCCCAAAGGAGCTTATGTTAAGATGAAAAAAGTAGAAAAGACATGTATTAAATATAGGCATAACTCATACAATTACCAATGTACCGATAGCCCTATCTGCTGCCTAGTGATGACAAACATTCGAAACATAAATTAATCATTTCTGCTAACTTATAATAACCATAATATAAATACCAGATAAAAAGAACAGTAGCTACACTAGCAGCGATGTTAAATTGTAAGCCAAATTGATTGCAACTCATGATCGGTCTGGACTTGGGACTCAACTTGGGACTTGAGTGCTATGACTTGAGACTTGACTTGGACTTGTATGAATTGAGTCGAAAGAGGTTAACAGGTTGCCGTAGACCGGTACTTTGTATGAGATGCTGAGGGCCGTGACACACGTGGTATATGATGACATGGGAGTGAGACGGCAAATGTATGGATAATTTTGGAAGGCAATGGCAGGACTCTTATTTTGGGGCTTACTGTATGTTTGAGGACTGAGTATTGGGTTTTTATTTGCAGTTATCAAACATGTATTGCAGTGGGCATGCCAGTGCCTATACAACAATCACTTTAAAATTAAAAGAGGCAATTTTGCTGCAAGGATGATGAATATTGAGCTCTGAAAATACATTGGTCTGCTGATTGTACGTTGTTCACTTTGACATTACTATGTCATTCATGAATATATATTTGTCTTTCTGCAGACCGGCGTATAGGTATGAAGGCAGAGAAAGCTGGAGCTGTGCTTCTTACTCTGAATCTGCTCAAACACAACATCGAAAACGCCACAAGGGCTGCAGCTTGCCTCTGGGTCATCCAAGTCTTCTCTTCATCAGGTACCAACACACACACATACTTAATGTATGGAGTTGGCAGCCAAAGTGGTTTATGGTTCATGTTAACTCGAAACACTGTCCTCTCACTGTCTTCTTACTTCCAGCTTGACAATTTTTTGCATTAACTATTTATTTGGCATTTGCTTTACCTTTCCTATTATCATTATTACTTTTATTAAACTGTAAAAAACAGTGTCAAAATAACCTGGCTGGTATCTGATCAGCAGCTCAGCATTGTGTGCAGCAAGCACTCAAAGACATGACTCTGAGCAGTGTTCAACCACTAGATGTCAGTGAAGTGGCAATCTGCCCTCCTGAGTCTGCTTTGGATGTCTTTAGACAATATCATAAGGACAGCAGTAGTTACCAGTTTTATACCATAATAGTCCATAAAAACAGTCCTGCCTGCACATATACATATAAACAGAGAGGATACCTCTCCATCTAAAACACATGCCAGTTCAGTCAGGAAACTTCTGCTTAGGTGGGACTGACAGTATTCTTTATTCATTACTTTTAATTTAATTAAAATGACAAAATATTATTTTATCTGTATATGCACTTTTTACTTTTCAGAACAGCATAACACAGTTATAACAGTATAAAACAGACAATAACCAAAACAACAATATTAGACCAACAAATGAAGATTAAGACAATGTATGAAAGAGGTTATTATTAAACATCATGATTATGAAACTGAGCCAGAAGCTCGACCAGGTTACAGTCCAAATTATTGAAAACACCACCTCGGGACTTCACCCAAAGAGCACATTCATGAAATACCTTCAGTTCAGACTCAGTTTCTCATTTAATTTCACAGCCTCAAAACAAGAGCGTTCCCACCAGCACAGACAAGCCCACAGATAGAATCAGAGATGTGGAAGTTGAAAAAACAATTTATTTTGAGTCAGGAAAAAAAAATAACATTAAGAATAACAGACTATTTTAACAGATAAAATAAACACAAGGACATGCTGAACATGATGCATTTCATTAAGAAAGATTTAAAATAGATTAGACTGGACTTTTTTGTCCACCGTAGTGGAAATATGTCTTTGACTTAACAAAAACACTGAAATACAACCATGACACTATAATAATAATAATAATTATAACTTATATTTACAGTATATAGCGCCTTTCACGAGACCCAAGGACGCTTTACACATAATTGCAGAGACAGAGCAACAAAAAGCTGACTATAGTTATTGCACATTAACAATACAACACAATACCACCATTAAACATACAACAATTGTGCCATGAGCAGAAAGAGGGACAAATGGAAATTAGGTAGGTTACAACCTACAAGGGAACACATTTAAAATTCATTTATTATTATTTATTTATTATATTTTGCATTTATTGCCTGTATGGCATGAGGAATAAAAGCTCTTTTATATGTTCTGGCCCACCAGGACCCTAAATCGATGGTAAGATGGGAGCAACTCAAACTCCGAGTTTAGTTGGTGTGAGGCACATACAGATATCCGTGTAATTTAACCAGTGGGCGAAAATCAGAAACTGTGGCAGCAGAATGACGACGTAATATTCCAGACTGAATTGCCAGCGGAGTTAAACACCCATCACACCTTTTATTTTTATCTAAAAGGCTTAACTGGCCAGCTGAAGAAGCCTCTGAGACAGTGAAGGTTCAGTGATGAAATGTGGAGCCAAACCATGTAAAGCCCTGGATATAATCAATGAAAATTCAAACAAACTAGCAACCAGTGAAAGGAAACCAAAATAGGCATGAGAGGATGAAGAGAAAACAAGGCTGGGTTCTTATAAAACAGTACTTAAATTGCTGAAATCTTCCACCATCTGACAAAAAGACTTCCACCCTTTATTTGGAAAATCTTGTGGTTTCAGATCGCTGTAGTCGTGCAGAGCACCCATGTTTACTGTCTTTGTTGAGTAGCTCGGCAACGCTGCACTTTCCTCTGTGTTAGAATTCATATTTTTAGTTGTTATGTGTTCACTTTACAGTTTCTACAGCAAACCTAATAGGAGAAAACCATGGACTAGATGTCATCTACAGCCTCATCCCTCAGTATAGCACCAAACATCTGCCCACCATCAAGTATGTATACCCAGGCTTTCTACAAATCTGTGACAATGACCACCTACATATATCTCTTTGTGACATATGCCATAACATGGTGATACATTGACAATAAATCTGTAAAATATTAAGTTATACCATGTACTTACCAAGGTAAAAACCTGGTAAAAACCTGGAATTAACAATGGGTATATCTGAGTAGTATTATACTGACATTTATGTAACAGTGTAATGAGAGGGAAAAACAAACGGCAATAATGGGAAACACATTTAAAGATGGCAACGAGGAAAAACTATTTAGTGATATTATAGTAATATTTTGGTATCAATATGGTAACATAGTTAAATTTTGATATCTGGTGCAGTGGTTAGCACTGTCGTCTCACAGCAAGAAAGTCGTGGGTTCAAACCCCGGTTGCCCCGGCCTTTCTGTGTGGAGTTTGCATGTTCTCCTCGTGTCCGCGTTGGTTCTCTCCGGCTTCTTCCCACCGTCCAAAGACTTGCAGCCTTGGTCGATTGGTGACCCTAAATTGTCCGTGGATGTGAGTGTGAGTGGTTGTTTGTCTACGTGTGGCCCTGCGATGGATTGGCGATTCTGTCCAGGGTGTACCCTGCCTTTCGCCCGATGTCAACTGGGATTGGCTCCAGCCCCCCGCGACCCTGTATGCAGGATAAGCGGTTGACGATGGATGGATGGATTTAAGGAGGAAAAAAAGATTCAAATCTGACACCACATGAATGAACCATCAGTCACCACTTGCCCTCTCCCTTTCAAAGCGGGCAGGAGAAGCTATGGTGGCAGAAACGCTCTTTCAGTTCCTGTGCTCAATAATTAGTGTGGTCCTCCATTTGTCCCTTCTTTTTTTACATCTAATTATGTAAGGTCTTTAAACACCCCTGAAAACATAGTTATGGATATTATATTGATATTATATTATATCTCTGATCCTCCTAAATATTACACTGTGAACTTTTAATATATACAAAGCTAACTGTGAAAATTGAAAATACAAAAAAAAAGGTTGTTGTCCCTTCATGCTACACACACAGAACTTAACAGACAATTAAAAGTTGGTAAAAATAGTAAAGAAATATAGGAAAATAATTAATAAATTAATAAATTAGCCTGATATACCGTTATTTATATACATAGCCTATATGCAAACACGTATACACCCAATCATTCTGCAGTGCATTTTGTGAATTTGCATCTGGGTAATTGTAAACAGCAGAAATAATAATATGGTTTCATCTTCACATTAAAAAGTCGGACATTTGGGAAACAGAATCCACTTGTTTGAGCACCAAGCATCATCGATGTAAACACATCCTCTCATCTTGCCGGAGTCTTGTGCTCTGACAGCTCGGAGCACGGTCCACCGGTCAAGTGCTTGATCCAGGATGTTGATGAGCAGGTCTCTGTGAAGATGTGGGCACAGCAGTCTCTGATTTCTGTTGCTTGGCCAACATGAGTCCCATTTTGTCCAGATCAGACTTTAATATTAGATTAGGAAACTTTATTAATCAATGGGGAAACTCAATTGCCACAGGCTCACATCACACAACATACAATATAAACAGAAAAGACAACCAGTATGTACACATAGGACAAGCAGTAAAAAAAAGAATACACCCGTTAAAAGCCTTCCTGATTAGAGCTCACAGTTTGCTACAAATATGACCACCTGAAAACCTTAAAATTGAAAATAAGCAGCCTTAAGCTTGATTTATACTCATCCTTAGGGTGTACGTGCAAGTAGCCATGCATTTATACCTGTGCGTTGGTGTCTCTGTCATTCTGCAGTTACGCCCCCAAACGCTAGTCAGCATTAGCGCTACAGCGTCCATTGTGGTGAATTTTGCCGGCCGAGTAGGCTAACTTCCGGTTTAGCCCTCTGCTAACGTGAATGGGGTAAAACTGTATACATGCGCCTTTTATAGCCTTGTCAAATGTTATCGACAGAATGGATCACATTCTGACAGTGAAACAAGTCATTTCGCTCGGGTTGTGACGGTCAAATATATTGATCTACCGTGTTACAGCCGCTCTTTTGGCCGCTAGTAAAAGTTACTTCAAAGCACGGGGCACTTCCTGTCGGCTCGGAGACATTGCGAGGCAACGCCATCGATTCGACGCAGAAGTATAAATTACACTTTAAGTCCAAGCTGGGCTAACATGGATGCTACCCCGGCTCTCTTACCTGTCCTCTGTGCGATCACCTGACCCATGTGCCTGGTCCAGTCGATCAGGCTTGTGGATCATCTAAGGTCCACTGCTCTTTAATCCAAAACCCCTCTTCATTTTACAATGACTATATTTCTGTCATAGGTAATAAAAACAGATAAAAAAATAAAATAAAGGTGTAGCAAAGTTTGAAGAAGCCACTGGCTGCTGCATCTACATGCGCACAGTGTTAACCATGTTTAACGTAAAAATTGTTTCTCAGCACTGGAACTCAACCCATTTTCTGATGCGTCAAAAAAATATCATTAAATAATAAATTAATATCATAAACGTGCACCAACTTCTGACTAATGGCTTGAATAAACAATGACTAGTCGACTTGAAAAAAGCAGCACTAAATATAATAAATATGATAATTATCAGTTTTGACTTCCAAGAATGTTCATGTGATTTTGAAGATATTATGCTGATAGTCGTCCATTATATTCATTCATTCATTTATTTCGGTTTGGTCATTTACAGATCATTTAATCAAATCATTCAAAACATAAACACTATAGATGACCAGGTGCAGGCAGAAGCTAAAGCTTATTGTGCCTGCCCTTAGCTTTAGAATCATAAATGCAACTCATTAATGCCAACATTTGTTCGTAAAATTAACAGTAACACATTAGTGGACCATTGTCCACACCAGAAACAAGCCTATTTAATTATTTTCATTCTAATAAATATTTTTCCAATGTTATTCTCTTGTAGATATTTTTAAACTGAAAAATAGACATGGCTTGTTTTAACTCATTACAGCAACTATTCCACAATTTAACTCCTTTATTTGATAAACAGTGTTCTCTTAATGTAGAATGTACTTGTGGTTGATTAAATATACATAATCCTCTAAGATTATATTTACTTTCTCGCTGGGTAAATAATAATTGCAAGCATTTAGGAGTTTTATTATATTTGACTTGATAAATAAACTTTAACGTATACAAATCAACTAAGTCATAAAACTTCAAAATTTTTGATTGATGAAACAGTAAATTACTTGGTGAATTATAAGGTGCATAGTTAAATAATCTGATAACCTTCTTTTGTAATAGGAAAATTGGATTGGTTCTAGTTTTGTATGTATTTCCCCATATTTCAATACCATACATTAAGTATGGTGTGACAAGTGAACTATAAAGTAAATGTAATGCATTTTTGTTCAAAGTATATTGCAACTTATACAAAATTGCAATCGTTTTTGATACTTTCTTCTGAACGTTAAAAATATGCAGTTTCCATGTCATTTTACAATCAATAATTACTCCAAGGAATTTTATATGATTATCTTTAATAGTAATCCTGATCTCATTATTTATCTCTTTATTACTAAATACCATAAATTTAGTTTTATTTAAATTTAATGACAATTTATTCAAATCAAACCAATTCTTTAGTTTATATAATTCTTTCTCTACCACCAACACAAGCTCTGTAAGATTTGGGCCAGAACAATAAATTGTTGAATCATCCGCAAAAAGAATCAAATTTAAAACATCCGACACTTTACAAATATCGTTTATATATAACAAAAATAACTTGGGGCCCAAAACAGAGCCTTGTGGAATGCCACAATTAATTCTCTGAAAGCAGGACGCAACTCTATTGTGAAAACCTACATTAAATCATTATTATGAGGTTATTACCACATTAATGTCTCCATATTGCCATTTTCATCCAAACAATTGCACTGATACAACCATTTAATTGTTAGGTTACACTACTGTTACCAAAATATTACTATAATATTACTATAAGTTTTTTCATTGTTGCTATCTTTTAATGTGTTTCCTCATTACCACCCTTTGTTTTGGCCTTACCCGTGGTACACTGTTACATCGTTTCAAAGTATCAAACTATTACCATGTTATTACTGAGCTGTAATGTAAAGTGCTACCAGAAACATCATCATTATATCAACATATTCTTTATCTCAACACATCATCATTTTTCCTGAGTCATGCGTTGACCCTACCTCGCACTTTAGCCACCATCCTTTTTCTTTTGGATCGTCTGTCCTTTTCCCATCTGTCTGTGTTACAACTGATGGCATTTGGCTTAAATAGCCAGCGTACTCCAGTATACCCACTGAAGCATGCCAATGGCACCAGGAGTACTGTCCTCTCAGCCTGGATCAATGCCAGGCATACCAGCCCCTGATCCGCCACTAGTGAACATGAAACTCCCCAGTGGAGTGAGGAAATCAGATGCTCTGACATCACAAATGTATAGTCCTAAGGGTGAGTTTTCTGTATCATTTCCATGCAGAAGTCATCTGTTAATTGTTCTAATACAATTACAAGACTCTGGGATTCCACATTTCAAAGCCAGCTGCTACTTTGGATCATTTGTAAGAATTGGCAGCTGTGAATTCTTGTAATGTAATGAGAGCAACGAGGCAGGAGATATGCTATTTCCCTTAAGTGTGAGAGTCAGTTAGACATGTCTGTCACAGTGATTTATTCAATTATAGCTGTGATATGGCGACCGTTAGATATGCCGGTTGGCTGCCGTCCACACTTTTAAAGCAGTAAAGTCAGTCAGACTGTCCAAAGCTGTACAACTAAATCTGTCCATCTATTCTCAACTGTCAGCAGCAGTTCATCCCTCACTTCTGTCTGTTAAGACTGCTAGGCACCACACTTACTAAGCCCTTTAGATTGTCCCAGTTACTGTCGGCCACAAAGGAAATATTTTACTTTGAATGACTTTCCTGACAGGTTTGGATTCATGAATAGTTTGTAATGCAAGGATGCATAAACTCTTCATTTCCCCTGTGCTGACTCACCCACAATGCATTAAAACTCAAACATTGCACTCAAAAAGTGTGCTATTGTTCCCACTATTTTGATTTTGATTGACCTTATGGTTCACCAGTTACCTTTCCATTTGCAGGCCATTTTATCATTTACAGCACAATGCAAAATGTTGACCACATGCACACCTTTAATAATGTCAGCCTAAATCACATCCTTAACAATTTAATCGTCATCTCTAAATATTCTTTCCCCTAACAAATTCTGTTTCCCTGTTGATCATGATGCGCAGAAGCCAGTCCATCTGGCCCAGCAGGTATAGTGAACTCTATGAGGGGAAACTCCAGCCATGTGGCTGCCAGCCAACCACAATCCAACACCATATCCAAACATCACTGCATCCAGCAATAAATCATCTGTTATATAGTATGTCTCTTCACATATTTCACAACAGTCAGTTGCTCAGCACTTCTATTTTAAAGTGCCCCACTGGAATGTAGACCTATTTACCTCAAAAGCATGGCAGGTGCCAGTAAAAATACAGCTGAAGATAAGGTGGGGGAACATTCCTGTATAGTGTATGATTAGTTACTACTGGTGTGAAGGAGAATTTCACTACTGTTGATTTTGATCCAGTGCTTTGATGCACCATGTGATAACAGCAGCAGCTGGATGCACAATATGTCATGTGACAACTTCTGAACACAATATGATATCTGACCTGCTTTACAAAAATAAAAAATAACATTGGTGTTTGACTGCATTAATCTCAAATGGTTAAAATCGCTTTTGTCAAGGGGACAGTCGTAGTCGACAGGTAGTTTATTTATCATTATACAACACAAGGTGGTAAAACGAACTAATGTTTGTAGTCCCTTTATGCTACACACACATAACATATGTATATTTTGTGAAATGTATATTAAAATATGGTAACATGTAAAACAGTAAAACAATATATACAGTTATTTATATACAATATACATTTGTACATAAAATGCATACCCATTCAACATCATGCAGTGCGTTTCTTGAATTTGCATGTTGGGTGAATGAAAAAGGCAACAATAAGATGAAAATGTGGTTTTCATCTACATTCCTGACATTTGGGAAACAGTGTCCATCTTGACTGTGTTTGAGCACCAAGCATCATCGATGTAAACAGTGCTTGATCCGGTATGTTGATACGAAGGTCTTGGTTTTAGCGGGCATGTTTTTACTACTTTTAGTAACTTAGCTTGTTTCTTATTTCACCGTTTTACTTATACTTCATCCTACATCATAAGTATCACTCACTTATTGAATTTGCCTCCTTCAGTTCTCTTCCCACTCACAGACCTAACGTCTCTGCCGCAAACACGTCAGCGTTTCCCGCTTCTTCTGCCGTTTTTCCATTACCAGAACTAGCTCAACTCGCCTTGACTCAACTCAGTTTGGCCGTCCTCCGTTTTCCATTGCAGATAGTACCCAGAGATAGCACCCCTCAATCTAGATGGTCGTCATAGCGATGGCACACACAACTGCCGCGACGTAATGTTCAATGCGACACACACAAACAGCTGTCTCTTGATATAAGTTAAAACGTTTCAACATTACTCAGAATGTAAAGACAGATAAGACGGAGGTGATACGAAAAAAGTACCCGGTAGCAGGTACAAGTACAACTTTTACAAAATGGAAAACCAAAAAAAGACGATTAGAGGCGAGCTGGTACCGTGCAGTGGAAAAGGTGCTTTACCCTCTCTCTCTCCCTGTTTGTCCGCTTCGGTAACTTTCTCCATCAGTAGTAGGCTAGGCTATTTAAAGTCACCAAAAAGAAACAGAACTTGTCTTCTTTTCCTCCAGTGATTCCGTTCACAGCAGCAGCTGAGCTGAATGTTGTGAGGACGTATTGATGACATAGCCTATCAAAACAAAACCAACGTGGTAGCTAACGAATGACATCTGACTGGTGTGTTACCTGGTCCGCTCTTATATAAATTTATTAATTAAATATCCACAGTGTCGCGAATTGTAACGTAATCACTGTGTTTCTCTGATAAATGCAACAGTGTGTCGCCTAACCTGCACGGCCCGCCGAAGTAAAGTGTATGTGTGGGAAACACTGAATGAACCGTGCTTTTCTTTTTGCAAGCCAGGTCTTTAACAGTGTCGACCAGCACTGTGTCTCCCTCCATGTTGCTGAGAGTTTGTGAGTAGACGACTGCGTGCAGACGCAGAGGGAGGTGTGGGGCTGCACGGTGGGGGAGAGAGAAGAGCAAACGCTGGCAGGACTTTACGGAAATTAACTCAACATCAAACTATATTGATATAAACGGTATTATGTCATATCTCTTACAAAATTATCGGTATACATTATACATTATACATTATTACATTATTATTACATTATCATTATCGGTATACATTATATACCGAAATACCACCCAGCCCTAGCGTCCACTGTGTCGACTTTTACCGGCCGAGCAGGCTAACTTCCGGTTTAGCGCTCCGCTAAACGTGCGGCTGGTGTAGCCTTTTCAAATGTTATCGACTGAATGGATCACATTCTGATAGTGAAACGAGTCATTTCGCTCAGGTTGCGACGGCCAAATATATTGATCCACCGTGTTACAGCCGCCGTTTTGGCCGCTAGCAAATGTTACTTCAAAGCACGGGGTACTTCCGGTCGGCTCGGAGGCGTTGCGAGGCCAACAGCCGACCAATCACAGAGCTTACGGTCCACGTCGACTCGACGTGTAGTTACATTTTTGAGGAGGTGCACGTCCGGCGACGACATAACCTCTGCTCCGTAACCTACACCATCACCTACGCCGTTGATTTGACGCAAAAGTATAAATTACACCTAAGTCCAAGCTGGGCCAACATGGCTGCTATCCCTGCTCTCTTTCCTGTCCTCTGAGTGGTCACAGCACCTGTTGTCGTGCCTGGTATGGGGATCTGCCTGGGTGGATTCTAAGGTCCGCTGCTCTTTAATCCAAAAACCCTGTCCTTTTTTTCCAATGACTGTATTTCTGATGAAAAACAAAAGGGTAGCAAACCTTGTTTGAGGATAGAGGAGAGGGAGTTTGCTCTAGGAGCGTCTCAGTTAAGGGACCTGCCTTGAATCCAGACTACGTGAAGGAGGTTGCTCTGGAGGAGATAAGCAGACAAAAACAACATGTTCAAGTGTCTTAGAAACAGAAGAAGGATTTACAGAGGATGTGCAGTTTTAAATGCATCTGCTTAAGGCTGGGTGTATACACTTGTTCAGTCACTACATGCCTGCCTATTCAGTTAACAAGTAAACTCCATGTACCCCAACTCTCTCCATCTCAAATAATTATGGCACAGCTGATTGTGTGTAGTGTGCACCTTTCTTCAGGGAATCCAGGTAAATCCTTGATGTGCTCCCAGTAAATAGGGCAACCTTATCCTGACACTATCATCTTCCCGCTGGCTGACTCCAACATCAAATATATTTTATTTGAAGGTTTTAATTCCAGCAAAGTCTGGTCCATCTCTCTTCTAACCCAACCAAAAGGACCAATGATAAATTATTTCTGATATTTTACATACATCTCATGGATTATACTGCTTGTGAGCACTGAGATTTGGAAAACTATTAATTAGTTTTATCTTATTTTATCTCCCTTAGTTGTAAAATGCACAGAAATGATAAATGACACACCTATATGTGTTGTCCCTCTGAATATGTCTATAAATATGGCACATCCTGTTAAAGAGTGTAGTATTTCCCATCTTCAGTAAACATTGCATGAACCCTTGTGGCTCTCAATACCTCCTGAGGTTGTGACCTCTCGTCACCCTGTGGACCCCCTGTTAGTGACACCCTGGTTTACTTGCTGCTAGTAATACTACACTGGACAGTGCTACATTCTTCATCTCAGTATGCACCCCCCCCCCCCCAACCAACAAGAACATCAATAATACAGCTTCTCGAGTTCCCAAACCACCACCACACATATCATGCAAGGCCAACACTATGGGCTGTCTATCTATCACCACCCATGTGAAGTGTGGAGTCAAGTCACATGTTGTGGTCCCTGTGGAAGAAACACATAAGGGTGATGGGAAGAAGACAGGGATGGAAGGGGAGAGGAGGAAAGGACAGAGGAGGAAAGGACAGAAGACAACAAGCCATGAAGAGGGGGGGGGAGAATGGTAAGGGGAGGAGAAGGAAGCAGGGAAGTGATGGAGGGGCAAACAAAGAAAAAGAAGGCAAAAGGGACAAAGTAGGGGATGTTGAAAGAAGGGATGAGTCATTTTAAGTAATAAAAGTCTAGAACAAGATTCTTACACAGATTTTTAAAAATAAATATCAAACAATATGATATCAAATACAGTTTGATAACAGTAAAATATGTCAAATACAGTTTAACACTTGACATTTCATAAGATGGACAAGAGATTGATTTTCTTGAATTTTCATATTATATCAAAGAATATGCTAATGACTCAAAGGCAAAGCTGACAACTACAGAAAATCCACACATTTAACTGACTATATGACATACAAACACCCCCGCCCCCACACACATACACACACACAAACACACACTCATTTGTCACACTAGTGTACCATATACACACTGTGTTTGCATCAAATTAAAGAGCGTGTTAATTAAAATGTTCAAGAAACTAACTGCTCACTCTGTTTCTTTTCCAGGGCAGCCATTAATGCCTTTGCTGCTCTGCTGTGCACAAGTAAGTTTTTCATGACCTCATCCATCATTCACCAGCATGGTCTCATCACCATCATCATCATTACTGCACAACATTGTCAGTGTGCCTCTTCTTCGGGGGCACACTGACAATACTTGTGATTCTTGGGCCATTTTCTAGTTTAATTATGTAATTCTCTTATTCCATGGATAAGTGCTGATGGTGGGATAGCGTGGCATCTCACTTATTTATAATATACTGTGAAAGGACTACAGTGGACTTAAATAGGAAAATACATTTCCTCTAGATTGGGAATGTCATTAGTTCTGCAAGTATTTGGTCATAAACCAAAGCATCAAACACATTTTTCTGATTGCTTAAAATATTTGAAACTATTGGCTATTTTTGTAAAACACACTAATCACACTATACACACTAATCAAAGAACCTTACACCAAAAAAAGCACATATCTGGCAAAAGCAAACAATTCTTGCAAAACTCTTTAAACTCTTCTAAAACTAGTGTTTTTGCATCATTACGGTAGGGGAGGCCGGGTATGGTTGTAACTTGGGGAGAGCTGTAACAAAACCAATTCCATCAATTACAGATAAGATTGGAGTCAGTATTTACCTACTTCCTCCCTGATCAGGCATGGCTGTAGGCTGTAGAGGCACATTCAGAATATATACAGGAAAAAAACTTGATTTTCAGGTAAAAAAGTAATTTTTTTGACCAAGACTATTGCAGATAAAATTGTTTGATTTATTAGATTATATAGATCTTAGGCAAGACACAATGCATTTTCCCCTGCTGTTTATAACCACTACAGCTAGCCGAACAATGGCTGACCGGTGTGGGGTGGGTTGTAATATAACAATAATCATAATATAATTATTAGTCCTGTAGGTGACCTTTTTAGGGGGTTAAGGGGGTTAAGTGACTTACTCAGGGACACATTGGTAGATGTCACAGTGGGAATCAAACCCAGGTCTCCCACACCAAATGCATGTGTCTTATCCACTTTGCGATTGCCACCCCACTTCTTTTAAAAGTGTTGCAACCCATCCTCTCCAGGGTTACCAGCATTAATTTGTCAGAACTGTGACCAGTACTCCTCCTTCATATGTTGTTCACATGTCGGCATCACATCTCTTCACTACTCAGTCTCTGCTGGTAGAGAGGGCAGAAAAGAGTACCGGCAGCTTTTGAAAAGTGCCGGCATGCAAGAAAAAGTCCTGGTACGCAAAACAGTAAAATGTGGAAGTGCCGGTACCGACCGACTTCACGCACTGACTGTGACTCTGATTAAGAATGTAGACACACTGACACACACACACACACACACACACACAAGCGAGTTTATCATACTGTTACAGATAGAGAGAAAACATTGTTTTATTTTACTGTACCTGATTTTGAAGCACATCAAATGGTGTGGCATCGATTTTTGCATGTTTTGTCTTAAAACTTAGCCCAGCATGTGTTACAACCTACCCCGGTAGTCATGAGGTCTGTGATGTTCTTGTAGAGGATTCAATTGGGGCCATTTGGAGTAAACACATGTGTTCCAACCACACCCCTCTCCCCTACACACAAATGTCTTTGAATGAGTACGAGCAGCAGCTGATACGCACTGACAGTATAAATAAAAAACACTTTTCTGTGTGCAGGGCAGAGTAGTTTGCAATAGTTGAAAAGTTTTGTCATTTATGCAATACAGTAAAACTCACACACGCCCAAATTTGTAGAGTATGAATGTGTATTCCTCAGTTTTTGTACACAATCTGAATTTATTTTGAAACTCTGTACAGCTGCTTCGTCCAAAGCAGGGAGACTCACTGTGATGAAGTTATTTGGAGTAACCATATTTACAAAGTGGGTTTGTGCTCTTAGCTGAACAGTACTCTACAGTCTCTGACCGGAAGTCCAATTATTTTGGAACAGACTTTATAGTGCATATTACTGAACCAGTACCAGTATTGTTTCAGCAGTACAGTTTTGCTAGAAGTGTGTTACTGAATTGCAAACTGAGTGTAAAAAATCATGTGCATTTAGTTGGCACACTTTCCACGGTTCCTCACTTGTTGAGATGTATCTGTCTGGGCCGGAGCGGTGGACAGACTTTTCCATTTCTGTTGAGCGTGAGTGGCAGATGTAGAGTTTTGATTTGTTTTCTGCCCCTGTTTTTTGGATTTCTCTCTGTTTTCTCCATCTGTACTATATGTGCATGATTACAGTAGGTAACTGTAAAACTTCTAGCGAGTGTTGGCCGGGGGTTGAGTGGTTTGGCCAGGTGTTTTTTGGGAGGTTTTTGATTGTGGAAAAGCCACCTCCGTCCGTCCGGCAGGCAGTAAGGATAGTCCAACTGGATAGTAACATTAGTGTGGAGGAGGTTCTGTTGGTGAGCAGGTAGGACACAAAAACCTTTCTTTTTCATCAAGAATGAACAAAGCAGCATATAGACTCCGGCCTGCACAAGGACTGCTGTATAACTGCGACCTGTCCTGGTTTGAGAGCTGGGCGATTAGGCTATGATAAACAGCCTTTCCTCTTACAACCAGAGGACATGGACTTTAGTGGACTAACACTTTTTTACAGCTCTGTACTGTAGGCATGGCATATTTTTAAGTTCCCACATGCTATAAACGAGATCACAGGCATGGTTTTGTTTAAGGAAGTTTTTTTTATTATCATAAAGACACTGCTGTCTGCGAGTTAATCTCAGATAGGCTGGCTGCACCAAACTGGGCCATCTGATGAAGATGAGGGCCACACCGGTGGACCCATGATCACCTCTATCCGGCTGATCAACCGAACCCTAATAGTAAACACAGAAAACCATACTGTGTGACCAGTGGAGTGAGGAGTGTGAGTACATTTTCCCCTCCCTGTCTATCACCCCAGCTGTGTGGGAGTGGCAGGAAGCAGGAGGTCAGCTGCTATCTTTTACAAACCCCCACCTGGAGAAGTTCCAGGCTGCAGGGGGAACAAGCTGTCGACCAAATCTGCATTGAGGTTTGAACCTGCGCTCTTTGGCAGAGGTGACGGAGGCCAGGTGGACTGAGTTTTTTTGCCCAGACGTTTCCGTGAAAGGTGGTCCCTGTACAAGCTGCCCATTGACAAGAGGACGGCCGACCTCCAGTGGAGGGTTGGACGTGGGGAAATAGCTACAAACAGGTACAGAGCAGAGAGCTGGGGGAGGAGTGTATGTTCTGCTCTCAGATTGAGACCCTGGTTATTTGTTCAGTGTCCCCGGCTGTCGCACTGGTTGAATTTGTTTACTTTAGGCCTGAAATACGGTGCTAAGAAGATTCTATACAAATTGGTGAACTTTTTATCTGGTTCTGACAAGTTGAACTTCTGGCTGATGTGTAGGACCGGGCCCAGACTCCCGGCTGTGCGGAGGGCACTTCTGATTGTAAACATCTGATCAGAGAAACACCTTTCTGTGTTTGGTTAACAGTTTTTGTTGTATTTTAGGAATACGTAAAACTTACTACTACTTTAGAAAAATGTTTTTTTGTGATTCTGAGACAGTGATCTGTTTTTTCCTTGCAATGGTCCAATAAAAGGACCTCTTCTCTTCTCTTGACTTGTTATGTAGAACTGATGTGTTGTAATGCATTAATCTTTCCTGTGGGGGTCACTTTTGCACTTTGTTTCCAGTCCTGTGGCTGAGCGCCTCTGTTATTCTTTTTCACACACATACTCATTCAGTGTGTGAGACATTCTGAATAAAGGAAATGTTTTTTTTTTCTTCTAGACTATACATGAACACACCACATTCTGTTTTTAATCCCATTTTCTACGACATCTTGAGGATTTCAACAGAGTTACTGGAGGTTATGTGAACACTTCCAAGTTGTGTCTTTTAAAGGACAGCTTTTCCCATGTGCCTGGAATGTAAGCACTGGTCTGCAGTTTTTGTATATTGTATTGTTACTGTCAAAAAATCAAGACCCAAGAACCAATAATGTGCATCTCTGAATTCTTTCCAACTTGCCTACTTGTCTGTGGCCCTCACCTTTGTCCCTTGGTCTCTACTGAAGACACCAACACCTTACACATTTTGTAGTTTCATTAGAAAAAGGCTCAGTAATTTTCTAAAACAGCTGGTCACTATAGTTTTTCTCAAACATTACTCAAATAGGGACAAATATTGCATTTGACTATTTTCAGCAGGAGATAATTTGACATGTGCTCCAGTGAGTAGTTGGGGCAGCCTGGGTTTCATTTTGATCAGTGGTACACACAAAACTAGACCTGAAAGAGGCTTTCGCCACTTCAGACACAAAAGTTGTGATCTATAAAAACAAACTTTACGGGTGAACCTGTGCACCTGTAAGTAAACCACAAACACAAACTGGAGCCTGGGGAACTTGGCCATGCGCATGGTGAAGTGCGAGGAATCCTTATAGATATATTGATGCCTGATCACATCACTTATAGATACACTTTATCAGAAATATTCAATCATCAGAGTTATGTGCACCTTTCAACTACTAAAGATAGAAGCTAACTAAAAATTCAAATCAGATATTTCATCAGCCTGTGGATAGCGGATACAGGCAGCAGAGAGGGCTGGACTGTAGCTTGTGACACTTGTGGTGAAACGCTAAGATGATGCCAGGACGTGCCAGGTGGCAGGATTCAGGAAAGTATGGCTTGCCTTTCTGATCACTGAGTCCTTTTCACCTCACCACATTAACCAGGCAAACCGATGAAATGATCATCATCCGTGTCTCCCTTTATTCTCTGCACTTTGCCATACACCCTAGTTTCTCAGCTCATCAACATCACAACACTATGAACTGTTCCCTGCGACAATGTCTGTGAGAGCCCTCATGCATTTGAATTATAAAGGGACCATTGCCTACAGGTGTGCATACACACGGTTTAATAAATCAGATTGTTTTTGGCTTTTATGTGCACATACACTTTAGTAAGGATCCTACACATTATTTATAAATGAGACTCCAGAACATTGTGTGCTGATTGAGTCAAAACAAACTTCAGAGTGGGTGTTCATGGTAATGAAGGAACATGTCACCCAGTGAAATAGTGTTGTAATGGAGCTCTATGGCACAGAGGAATACAATCTATCTGGCTTTGGATACACACAATAGTTGTTAGCAGGATATGTTTATTTTGTCACTCAGAAAATATTGTTATTGCAAGACAAATCCTTTAAACACAGTCCTTAATTGATTATATCCAGTCAGAGTGCTTGATGCATTCACATCTCCCCTAAAAATTCTATTCAGTTGATATATGTGAGAGTAAAAATGGGCCTGGCACTGGATCTAAGTCAGCAGCAGCAGAGGAAATGCTGATAAACCCAGATCAAACAGTGATGCTTCCTTCTTCTTTCTTTCTGTCTAAACTTTTTTTCTGTTCTTGTTGTGTACGCTGTTTTTATTTCTAATGCTCTTGTCTGAACTAGTGGACACATTTTGTTTGGTGACAGTTTAGAGAGTCACAACTCAAGAGGCAACGAGAGATTTGGAGGCCTCTGAGCTTTTTCATGATTTATGCAATGTTGTGCTGCACTCCATGTCAATGTGCCAATTTGCACAGAACATCAAGGGGACCACGTTCGCTCATAAACTAGAACATCGAAATGAGCCTGCTCTCAGTGGTTCGCTTTGATCTATAATGAAATGTTGTGAGTGAGCATAAAGGCAGCAATTACGCTAATATGAAGTCATATCTGGAGATATGAAGTATTTTTCTTCCTGGCAACCAATATTTTGAATGCATTTTCCCTCCTGATGCCAGGACTCGGGGAGCGTATTTAATCTAACACTTAGTCTGTGTTTGACATCTCACCCACTATTATGCAGTGTTTGTCTTTGCTTTCCAGGACCAAATGAAAACCTTTGAACAATAGCTAAGCATTCTGATTACCCTCCCATCAGCTTTTAACACATTTATGAATTAAAGATGTATGAAGCAGTGTTTACACTTGTTTTATTCTTATTTGGATGTGTTCAAATTTAAAATGATTTTAACATACTGTAATCACTAATTCCTTAAATATTTGAGCACAACATTTTTCTTTTCTGAAGTTATTATTAAGCATTATCTAAAAAATTAGTAGATAATGCTTAATAATAACCTTGGACTCCTGGTGGTTTTGGGAGTCAGATAAGCGCATAATCTTTTACTACTTCCTATGTTACAACTTTTAGACAATTAAAATGTGCCTGTTCTGAATTCCTGGTTGATTCATGTTTAGTGCTATACATGTTATAAGTGCTGATGAATTCTTCACTTTTTCTACAGCTCCATCATTACAGCAAATGTGTCTTTCTGTGAGAGTGTGTGTGTGTACTGTATGTTAGTAAATGGGCATGCATATTTTCCCAGTGATTAAAAAGTCGCACTGGTAGGAAGATCTTCCTCTATATCCATAAAAGCATGACTAAGCTTGCATAGACATAAGTAGGGATGGGGATTATAATTTTTATTGATATTGATACCCTTATTGAGACTGCTTAATGATCGATTCTTTATCATCGATACTTTACTATTATTTCGTGACGGTTATTTGGTAAGACCAACAGGCATGAGGTAGGCCTGCACGGTATGAGGAAAACATTCAATGTGCGATGATACTGTTACAGTATATATTGAAATGACATGATATAAAATTTAATTTCTAGAGCAGCGACATTAATGTTTACAACAGCAAAGTCACTATATATAAACTCAATATGTGACATCACAACACTGAGTGACATTTAGAAAGAATAAAAACTCCGACATTAGTCTGTATCAGACCTTCCTCCTCCTTTCTACATGTTTGCCTTACAGACAGCTGTAGTGATAAAGTATTGTCTTTTTACTCACAAAGGTTTTATTGCACAAGCGTAGCTGTCGGCAACTTGAGTAGTTTGGAGCCATAGACTGTATATAAGAAGTGGACGTAGTCATCGTGAGACAACCCGTTGGTTTGTGGACTGCTGTTTTGAAGCCCCAAGTTTGGCCTGTTTGATACTGCGTTTCAGTGCCATCATTAGAAACATTAGTTTTCCTATCCATTGCGTTTCAAGCTAAATCAGATTTTACAGATCCACTAGTCTCGATAGCAGTATTGATAAGCTTGGACCTTATTAATTTTTGGGTTTTGAGAAATGTTGCACTTCCTGGGTTTTTATTTTGACCCAGGTGTCGTCCACATCCCTGTCCCAGTGGCTCGGTGCTGTTCCTCTGAAGGAGGGCTTTTCCCTCCACTTCTTCCATGTAGATGTTTGCCACAATCGGGGATACGGGTGAGCCCATGGCACAGACATGCTTCTGTCTGTAGAATCCTCCGTTGTTCTGGAAATAGGTGGTGTTTAGACAGAGGTCGAGAAATTTACAGATCTGGTCAGGGCTGAGGCTGGTTCTGCTTTCCAGGGTGTTGTCTTGTAGCAGACATTTCCGTACGGATTCTACTGCCTCCATGGTGGGGATGCAGGTGAACAAAGAGGTCACATCATAGGACACAAAGGTTTTATCTGGGTCCAGTTTCAGTCCTCGGACTTTGTTTACAAAGTCAATGGTTTTGGATGTGGTGGGATGTGAAGCCAACCAAAGGGGCTAAGATGGTAGATATGTGTTTGGCAATGTTGTACGTGACTGAGTTAATGGTGCTGAAAATAGGCCTGAGTGAGGCTCCTTCTTTGTGTATCTTGGGTAGTCTATATATGCAAAGACAGCAACACTACAGAGGATGAGCATGAGTTTGCTCACAGTTTTTGATAACATCTGACCAAAAGCACAAGGTCATTCAGAAATCCACAGTGGAGTTGTATATGGAGTAGGAATGGATGTTGAATAAATTGTCAGTTGATGAGTGGGGCTGAAGTCAATTATAGCCAATCAAATCAACTCCTATTCTCCCTTTACAAGCAGGGAACTAAACATCCTGATGAGCTGAGAGTCATGACAGCTTCTTTCAAAGGGAATAGAAACACAAATCTCTACAGATGTTCTGTTTCTGTATATTGTTGTGTAATGTGACCCAGGGTCAGAAAACACAACACAACCATGATGTGTAAGATTTTCATGATTATTGAAGATTATCAGTATCTTAGTGTAGGCCAGGACAATAAATAAATAAAATATCTGACTTGATTTCTTTGTGGACAGGCTATGGGACCAGCTGACCTTCTCTCAGCTAACACTTGACATAACTTTCTGGATCCCACTTATCAAAACAAGGCTCAACCAAAGAAATGTACATCAGTGCTGAGACCTTGTTGATTTGTAGGCCATAGTGATGTTCATTTCAGAGAATCCTCTTTCACAGTTAGCACTACTAGCAGCTGGTGATTTTACTGAATGTTGCACTTTCCAACAGCCCATCAGTCACAGGGTTTTAACAGGCATCAAAATGAATTATGAAATATTAGAATAATGACAATTATTGATTAATAATAGAATTTAACTTGTTAAATTCACTTCAGGGCACCACTCTTAAAGAGGAAAAAATTGATCAGAGGTGTGTGTGTGTGATCTATCTTGGATAACAGTACCAAGTTAAAAGGACTTTGCACACAAAGACTCTCTGTCTTTGTGGAGTACAACATTGCTAACATTAATTTAATGGTGGCTGAGAATTACAGTTACACTAATAACCTCACGTTACAACTTATGTACATTGTTTGATTTTTTTTTGCTCAGTCCAAATTCAGTCCAGTCTGCCATTACTGAAGTGGATTTCAACAAAAGAAGGATCAAAGAGAGGAAGATACTGATGTCATTTCCTCCCTCCCTGTGTTTGTCTGTGTCTCTCCCTCACAGAGGCTAACGTTTGCTCGGTGGTATCTAAGGGTTACATCTCTGGCCTCTTGCAGCTTTACGAGGATTGGCACAGCAAGGATACTCAACATGTTGCCATAGCAATCTGCCATGCCCTGCTGCACTGCCTCCATAAGGTCACCCACAGTACTGCAGGCAGACAGGCTTTCATATCCCACGGAGGCACTAGACTGCTGTATGAAACTACACAGGTAAAGTTAAAAGTATCCCCTTTCTTATCTGTTTTGTCATCCGCATTAATTTTTATTTTAGTTTTTTCTCTCCAACAATATGGCGGTACCATGACACACTCGTGTGTGATCAGCGAGGTGAACTAGTTTGAATATGGGATCTTTCCCCTGACCATTTACTCACTACCGGCTGGCTAAAACTCTTAACAACATCTAGAACACATTTTCGTCTGTTACAGAATGTTAATGTTAGTTACTCACACTTACAAAACTACCGTGAGAGACTGAAGTTCATGAAAAAAAACTACTGAACATGGCGACGCTCGTCAGAGCAGTTAGCTACAAAACAAAGCACTTTACACACATCTTGAAATCCTCTTACAACATTTTATACAGCATTCACATTACATACTGATCCAAGCTAAATACAGAAAAAAAAGTTTTACTGTACCTGTGGATTAACAGGGAGAGGACCAAAGTTAGCGTCTTGCTCAAGCCAGAGCTCGTTTATTTCTAAGCTGCAGCCTCCCTGCTTGATCCACAGCGGTACCAGAGCTCCATCTACTGAAGAGTAAGTGCATTACCTTTATGTTGTGACTTAGTGTTTTAGGATAGATCAATTATAACCAAAAAAAATGGGGGGTGTCTGTTTACATAAAACTAAACATGTAGCATTTCCAACCTACTACATTTGCACTGTGCAGTACACTAAGGAATGAAAAATGTGTGTAAATGAGCAAAAGTATACATTTGTTATTTCTTTTGTGTTCATCATGTGAAAAGGTTTCTGAGGGGGAGAACCACAAGCAACATTACTAATAACCAGTTTTTGTAGTATTGTTTTGAATTTATCTCACCAGTGTGTCAGACTGTGTAGTGTGTGTGTGTGTGTGTGTTTGAGGGCTTGTGTGTCATGTCTGAGGGCAAAGTTTGTTTTTTCAGCAAGAGTGAATGGTTTTGAGTGGAGAGTTTCATTTTGACCTGAAAATAGGAAGTTTGGGGTATTTGGTGAGAAGTTAAGGATTTGTGTTTAGAGTTCTTAGAAATGGAGGCATCATTTCAAGAAATGTGTTGAATCAATCAAGAAAAACTGTAAAAAACAGACAAGTTAAAGTGTTAGTGGTGAGATTGTGCTGCAACAACATCTGACACCCCCTTGACAGAAGACTACAAAGCCAGAGGAAGCCCAAACATATTTTGTCTTCAGGGCAGACCCTTAACATAACAGCTCTTTTGCCTTGCCCGGATGGTAGGCTGCTAGCCTGAACCATCTAGACACAAGCTTGTTCCAACCACCTGGAGAATGTAGTTGAATCCTGAGCCACCCCGAACCTGTGAGGCTGACGTCCAGCCAACTTTGAAAGCAAGAACTTACTGAAACAAGCTACTCAAAAAAAACAGTGTTTCTTACCCGACAAAAGTTAGAACCGAAATTCCTGCACACCCAGCAAAAGGGAGTGTATGAAGAAGATGTTATCAGCCTGCTGCCTGCTGAGAGACACAGCCGACTGAAGCTGGGTCGCCATGTTGGACAGACAATGCCCAGAAGTCACCTAGCCCCTGTGAGATCTACGCATGACAGAGCGAAACATGTCAGCTGCAAAGTGGTAAACAGCTTCATTCCTGCATTTATTGTTCATCGCTGTTTTCATTTACAGTGATTGTATTCATAGTTGTTTTAATTCATTTGTGTATGAGCGTAGAAAGTAATTTGTCTTGTGTCTAGTTAGTAGTTTAATAGACTTTAATTTACATAGAACTTGATTATGTGGTTTGACTGTATAAAATATAAAAAGGACTCTGTAGCAACCTTCAGATCAAGCCTAAATTAATTAGGCTATCAATTTTCCCTTTTTGATGGGTCGTGGTCTTCTGATGTGGGAATTGGGTGTAAACCTGTTCCTTCCTCTTACCAAAATGAAGATCTTTTCACCTAAAGCCCTCCACCTCTTTTGCTCTCATATACTGCGCCAAAACCGAGACCAAGCAACACTGCCTCAAGCACACTAAGCTACTGTTCTGCAATGTTACCACGGGTGACTTCATCACACCCAACAGCAATACCATCCCAATAATTAATAGCTTGAACCCCTTTGAACTTTTCTCTTAACACCACCATTAACCCATGCCATCTTCCACATCTAAGTTGTTCAAACTTACAGCTGCACAACATATTGAAGTAGAACTGACGATAAGAGCTATGAAAAATACTATATCTAAGACCAAATGGCTCAGAACTACTACAACTACGCCACATGGGGAATTTCACCCCAAGAAATACAGTGAGGGAAAAAACTATTTGATTCCCTGCTGATTTTGTATGTTTGCCCACTGACAAAGAAATGATCACTCTATAATTTTAATGGTAGGTTTGTTTGAACAGGGAGAGACAGAATAAAAACAAAAACATTCTGAAAAATGCATGTCAAAAATGTTATAAATTGATTGTCAGTGGGCAAACGTACAAAATCAGCAGGATACTTTATTTAATTAGTCATAAAAACTATACAATATCCTTAAATGTTGCACTGGAAAATACTATATAATACTTAGCACACTCCTGCGATGGACTGGCGACCTGTCCAGGGTGTACCCCGCCTTTCGCCCGATGTCAGCTGGGATTGGCTCCAGCCCCCCGCGACCCTGTACGCAGGATAAGCGGTTGACGATGGATGGATGGATTTAGCACACTGACAGGGCAGGGGGGAAAGGAACAGGGCTGTGGCTTACCACGTGGCAGGGGAACCCAAAGAAAGACGAGAATCCATTATCTAACCACCCGTGACACTACAAACCAACAAAAACGGGATTCATGAATAAACGTCACCACCAGGATGCATGCAACTGTGGGCAGCTGTATCACATGAAGTCCATTTATAGAGGCTTTAACAGCCAAGCTACCCACTGATATATTACACTTAAATTCCTACATTATGGAGAAATTTTCTGCACCAATTTATGGTGGAAATGTCTTTATTTATATGAAGGAAAACAAAATTAAGGTGGCAGGTGACAAATCAAAATATAATGATGTAATGAGCTTTTGGACAATGCACATTTGTTTCTTATATATTTCAGTTGAATTGCATGTTTTCTCATTGTGCATTGTTTCATTTGTTATTTAACATTTCTCGATGAGCTACTTTCAAGGAGGAGAGCAAGATTATGGAGTGCTTTGAAGGTGAGGAGAAGAACTTTATAATCAATACGGTATTTGACAGGAAGCCAGTGCAGTTGTTTTAGAAGTGAAGTAATGTGTTCAGAGACTGGGGTTCTGGTGACAGACAGCAGAGTTTTGGACCAGTTGGAGTTTATTAATGAACTTGTGAGATAGACCAGAGAGAAGGGAGTTACAGTAATCAATACAGGAAGTAAAAAGAGCGTGGATGACAGTAGCAGTGTTATGATGTGTCAGTGAAGGACGAAGGTGGTTAATGGTGAGTAAGTAAATAAGCAAACCGGGTAAGATTATTAATGTGTTTTTCAAAGGAAAGTGTGCTCTTCAAGATGACACCAAGACTCTTGAGGTGGGGGGAGGAGGGGACAGTGAAATTGTCAATGAGGAGAGCGAAATTTGGACATTTTGCTAGGGTGGATTTGGAGCCAACAAGGAGAATTTCAGTTTTATCACAGTTTAGTTTGAGGAAGTTTTGAGTGAACCAGGTTTTAACTACTAAGCAGTCAGTTAGAGAAGACAGAGGGAGCATAGACGTAGGTTTTGTGGACAAGTAGAGCTGGGTGTCATCAGCATAGCAGTGAAATTGGATATTATATTTCCTGAGAATAGTTCTCTCAGTAAATTATCAAAAAGAGGGGCCCCTGGACTGATTCCTGGGGAACACCACTGGTGACTGGGGAGTGTTGTGATTGAACATTTTTAAGTTGTACAAACTGAGTGTGGCCAGACATGTATGATATGAACCAGTTCAGTGATGTGATACCAATGGAGGCTAGACGGTCCAGGAGGATGTTGTGAGAGATGGTATCGAAGGCAGCAGTCAAATCAAGAAGGATGAGTATGGTAAGAAGACCTGAATCTGCAACCATTAGTAGGTCATTGGTGACCTTGATTAGGGCTGTTTCTGTGCTGTGGAGAGGCTGAAAACCAGATTGAAACTGTTCATAGAGGTTATTGTTGTTGAGATGATTATGAAATTATTTAGGTCATTGGGATTTGTGCCAGGTTTCTTTAGTACGGGGTAATAGCAGCAGATTTGAGAGAGGAGGGACCATGAGCAGAAATAAGAGGAGTGGGTGATGTTAGTAGATTATTCAGGGGTCGTGAAATTGTATTAATTGTGGAAAACAGGGCCCTAGTGTTTCCTTCATGAGATGATATCAGATGAGTGTAGTATTTGTTTTTTGCTGCAGAGAGGGAATCCTTGTAGTGCAGCATGTGGTTTTCATACATGTCCTTGTGTATAGCTAGTTTGCTTTTTTTGTAGAGATGTTCCAGGCGGCGTTCTTTTGCTTTTAGCTGACATGTAAACATGGAGTGGAATGAGTAAAGTACACTGTCCAGGTTTCCAGAGGAGCATGAGTGTTGAGGAGATTGTATAGGCCATTATAATGTGAGCCCAGATCATCAGTCTTGGCTGATTCTAAGGTGAGATTGTTAATTGCAATAGAGAAGGCAGGTAGGTCAATGTTCGTGATGTTTTGAAATGAGATGGAGCAGGGTGGAATCGTTTTGTGTAGTGGTAAGTCAGATGCAGTGCAATTAAAAGGGGTTAGACCAGAGAAACAGATGAGGTCTAAGTATGTGTCCTTTGTTATGAGTGGGAAAATCAACATACTGTTGTGGCCCAAAGCTGTCCAGTGCTGAGGAGAAGTCCTTTGTGAGAGTGTTGCTACTATTGTCCATATGAATATTAAAATCACCCAGAATAATGACATTGGGGGCCATGGAACAGATGGATGTTAAAAAAGAATTAAAATCAGTTAAAAAAAATATAATTGCAATTGCATTGATTTGCAGGACTATAGATTCGAATGAACTGGAGGCATTATTGGTTTTGAGT